TAAATCAGACTCCAAACCTTAATTTAGTGAGAAGGGACATGCCAAAAATCACTGTCAATATGTCTATTCCCTACTTATGAAGATCAAACTTTCAAGCACGTTAGAACCTATACAAAAAGCTCTCTTTAAGTCAATTCTTTTCTCCCCCTGACTTATAGCATAATTTTTTTTTTATATCACAACTTTCAATAGGAATGCTCATATATTATTTTCATCTCAAGTGTAGGCTGCTTTCCATTAAGCGACTAACATGACCCCTGTAACGAGTTTTAGGCCGAGCAACCCAAGTCAGGTGACCATAGGCATCAGATTATGAGAAACCTCGCAGGCTTAATAACTCAAGTCAAGTAGGCTTCAAAAAGTAGTATTAAGATATAGAGCATATATCATATTTAATCAATAGAGGGTATATGCATGAGTTTAGGTCTAACACAATAAGTCAATTCACGTTCAGAGTCACCCTATCAAGTGACAGCTATCCCAAGTCTCACACATGCGCTCAAGTCCTATTTACATGATCATAGTGTGTGCAGTGCAAAGAATACATGATTGAACATATACTAAATACTCCAGAGAAAACAGCAATCATGTGATGGAATGAGGACTATTTATCAGATAAATGCATATTCATACTCAACATGCATTGTCAAGTTTCACATACATGATGCAGTAGTCCACAAAAACAACCTAAGGGCGTGTTCGGTAGAGATTAAAATTGGATTAAGATTGAAAAACTAGCCGTTATTGTTGACTTTTATTAGACGGGTGGGACCCAATAACGGCCATATTTTCAATTTTAATTGGATTTTAAGCTATACCGAACAGGCCCTAAGTAAATAAGCAAGTTTTGAAATAATTTTCCTTTACAGACGAAAAAATTAATCAGATAGATGCCTCACCACTAGAACCATTTAGAGCTCTCCTCGCAATCCTGAGAGCTTGTCTGTACAGCTTCAACACCCGACCCCGGAGAAGGAAATCTTGCAAATCTAAGGTAGAACCATCCTCGTTACCCTTCAACAATTACACATTAACAGATCAGAATGAATTTTAACTACCAAGATTAACAAATTAGAAATAAAGAGTTCAAATAATAAAGAAATTGGATCAATTCTTCAAAAGCAAACTGTTTCGAAATGGGATTAACAGAGAGAAAGAGTTCGCATAATTCTAAACATAAGAATTGTTTTCAATCATCTATCAAGACTAAAAAA